GGAGACAGTCTCCAGGCTGCGACAACAGTAACAAGATTTGCATGGCCTCCTACAAACGATGTCAAAGGCCTGTGTGTTACATCCACTGATACTTGCCTTCCTATTAACACTCCCTCGTAATCGGGAGGTCCCGGGTTCAAGTCTCGGCCAGAAGACCAGCTATTCTGACTAGGATTTTTCGTGATTTTCCTCAGTACCTCCAGACACACACACACAGTACAATGCCTTAAATTAGGCCACGACCGCTTCCTTCCACGTCATTTATAATTAACTCTTCACTATCATCTTCTAATTCGGCGCTAAGTATGAGCTGGTGTAAAACGTCGTTAAACGAACTATAAATAAATATTAACATGTGTTACTTAAAAAGAGATTTATTTTGCTAAAAACTATCTCCCTTGTTTCTTAGTAGAATGATTCAGAATATTAACTACGTATGGATAATCAATTGGAAAGGATTTAGAAGGAAGTGGCTTGGCCTATTTGAAGTTTACTTACCAACCCAGGACGTGTCTGGAGAAACAGAAGAAGGTTATGACAAATCTGAATGAAGACAGTCGAGATTCTAAGCCCGGACTTCAGAATTTCTAATCGACACATTCGGTTTGTCTTCTCAGTGCAAATTTATACTTGATTTGACTTAGTTTTGTGTACAGTCTGTCGATTTTAGGCTTGAATTTGAATTGTTGTTTTGTGTATTGACATCTGAAACTCAGCCAATAAATCATGAAACATTTTGTCCTCAAATTGGTGGCCGTAAGCCCATTTAAGCATTTGTTAGTCGCTTTGGAAATGTACTTAACAATGTATTTTGCATACATTAAGTTCATAAAAATAATACCCGTCATAAATCGAGTATTAGCTGAATCCGAAAGACGACTGCAAACCTTGTTTAAACAAAGTTGATCCTGTTCTGATATTATCTTCGCGTATGAAACAGGAAATAATTTCCTTTAACACCCCCTCAACTTAAGCGTTTATTCAATACGCCAAGAAACTTTTATTACACATCGCCGTAATCTTGTTTTAACAGCCTTAAATTGCGAATAGGATTGTTAGTAAGTAACTATAATTTAGCAAGGAAAGTCAATTTATATCGCAACATAAAAACCATGAAATCATGATTACGTAATACATTTCGACACCATTCGTGCCAACTATTGTAAACGAATTTACCACACAAAGAAAAGAGCACAGGAAACGGATACTTACGAACCAATTTTACGCCAAACTAACTCATATTAGCATATAATTGTTAGGTTAGGTTAGCTGTGCTGGTGAATGGTATTAGGTGTTAAAACGTGGACTTTCCCTTGCTTGTATAAATTTCTGTAAACATTATTTTTTAATATGTTTTAATTCCCGATAATCTATTCCTTATTACGTAATTATTTGATGTGTTCTACGCACATTATATTTTAACGTAAGAGATCAGCCAAGTGCAAAGTCAGAGGTTATATATCTGACTCCATCACACGTCATGGGGCGATGACAGATGAATAAAGAGTAAGTGTTGAAATGATGATTACGGAATGAAACAGAAGAGCTCGGATAAAAGCCTATCCTACAGTGCAATTTCGTCAAACCAGGAATCTTACCGCGTCTAAGAGGCTGGAGACAGTGTTAAGATCCACCACATAACAAACTGATATAACCAACTGACAGGATTTTAATTAAGAAGGAAAGCGGAGATCATATTGAAAGCCAGCGAATGTGGAATTTGAAAGCCAAAAACAATTCCGATAATTATAGGAGCAATTGGAACTGTCTCCAAGACACTCAGAAAATATTTGGCCAACATCCCGGGCGAACACGACATCAGGTAACTTCAGAAAACTCTCATTTTAGGATCTTCATATACATCTTTCGAAAGACGCTGTCGTAAAATATATATTCATCTCTCAAGAATAAAACTATATAATACATGTAACATATTTTAAGAACAAAATGTATTTCGGAAATAGCTGCTCAGGGGCGAGGTTTGTCTCGGGTACATCGAAGTAAATACCCTATAAAGTGGTGAATATATGGAATAATAATTACGTGAAATTATTCGTTCCGCGATTCGGGCGAGAATGTCGCAAACACAAGCTCATGCCAGCAACTTTCCATGAGCCCGGTTATGATTTCAATTTGGAAACAAATCTCGTGCCAAACGCATATTTAATTTTTTAAACCAGCTTTCCCCGTTGCAGGAGGCTTATAACGAGTGTTTACACAAGGAAGCCCGGAGATGTCCGCCGAGAGTCGTACAATTTATTCTGTAATTATGTGAATGGGTCTCTGGCGTGCCATCGCGTAGCACAGGACGTTTCAGGGCTGCACAGAGCTCTCTCCTGAGTAATCCTGCTACTAGAAGCCCTACACATTTCTTAGTACCGGTTTGAAATGGTACAGTCCTCTGACATGTATCAAATATTCCCAAAGTTGGCTATTTACATTTAAGTGATGCCTTCAATACGCTTAATTCGTCTTAATTAGGCGTTTCTTCAAGGAATGATATTGAAATTGTCACACAAAACATAGAAACCTTTAGTAAAAACACTTATAGAGTTCAATCATCCCACTTTTTAACATCGATATTAACAAATAGCCAAAAACGCTCTTCAAATGTTTGCGAACGTTCAAATTAAACCTTTAACTGCATTTAAGGTCTTATACATTTCGTCACCCACTGTCCTGAGGTCCAAGATATCTGACCTCCTCGATCGCCGAACTTCGATTAACAGATTTATATTCCTAGAATCGCATGGATTAATACCATCTACTACAGTGTTGTTGGATATCCCAAAATATGTATGGCAGCTAATGTTTGGCTCTTGGAAAAATATATAATTTAGGATTGGCAGGACAATTTCCTCCGCCACATGAAGTTGATCTATGTTTCCGCATTCATAGTGGCATTTTTGAATAATATATTGTGAGAGATAATTCAACAGAAATATTTATTTCGATCTCCTAAACACGAAGAAAATAAGACAGATACAGCTTAGGAATAAAGCGCTCCTGGAATTCAGATACCCCATGCAATTACGTAAGTTATTTTGGATACACGCCATAAGTAGCCTCGTTGCTATATTCACACTTTCAAAAAACAGTAAGCGATAAAACCAGCCTATTAAAAACATTTCACCCTCCTAGCCACAGTAATTCATGCTATTATTACATCGCAAATAATTTTATACGTGGTCATATTTTAAGCCTGTATTCCTACGTTAATATTTTCTGCTTTAGACAGACGTACTTTTAAAAAATTTCATCATCTATGTTTGCTCATAACCTTGTATAATAATAAAATTAATAGTGTTAGTGTTCCTTCCACCTCAAAAGTTCGCTTTTTCGTCATATTACAGACGTTTAAAGGCCAGGATTTAAAATATCTATTGCCTGGAAATAACCTCTAGTGATTCCGGATTTGTAACGAATTACGTCAAGATCTGTCAAGTTTATTTCAAAACTGATGAGGAACGGAATTGTTAGGAAACACGTTTCGACCTGTAACGAGGCCACTGCTACTTTCCTTTCATAAAACAACCTACAAACTGAATCAGTAACCACGAATCTGGATGGATTTTAGCTTCTGTTTACAGAAATTCTCGTCATATTATTCCTGAATTCTTAGTATCGAAGATGGCCGTCTTCTGGGTTGTAGCGCCGTGCAATCTGTTAGAAGTCTTCGTCCTGATGATGGAGGCAGCAAAGACCTCTTTAACGCTGGTAAACCTCTAGCATAATACACGGCCACAGTGTTTATCAGTATCGAATCCTACTTGAGGTCATTGGAGACATTAGAGGCTCAATTCTGTATATCCAAGTTTTGTATCCGATCAAACTCGTAAAATACGCGTGCTACATTACCCGTCCATCTCATACTGCTTGGTACGGTGACTCTAATTGCGAAGAGTTATGTGGTCTCGTGTCACCACGAAATGACGCGTCCTCGAGTCGTGGGTGAACTGCAGGTAGACACGGACCACCGACAAGGGGTGGTCTTCTAGTTTGATGTATGGGAGGAAAACTAACTGTCCGTGAAAGACTTGCATGTTAAGAAATATTGAACAGGATCTCGTTACTAAATACATGTTTGTCCCGAGAAATTATTTTGTGTGTATATACGACAAGCCACTGGTGTAGAACGACAAGTGTATTTCTACTTATCATCCCGCATGAAAATACGTCAGGTCATAAGAACAACTTGAAACAACAGCGAAGAACCCACCCCGCCTACAAATATAGGCACAGCCCGCATTGATTAATCACTGGGTAAATGAAGAAGCCAATTTAACTACAATGTAATCCTCTCTTTGTTGAGTTAAAGCACTCGAAACGTCGAAATATAAATTTTCATCCGAAATTCAAACAAATACGGAGATAAATATTTTATGTTATGTACAATTATATATATTTGAGAATTCTGACAAACTGTAATGGATGTTACAATTAATCTTTAAATTGCATTATCTTTTTTAAGTCAATGAGTTCAATCAGGAATTTTTTTTTTAAATTTGTTTACTCGACTACGGTTTATTGAGTTCGAAAACTTGGTTACTCGACTACGGTTTATTGAGTTCGAAACAGAGCAACATGAAATATACTTAACATAAAATGAAATTCCAAGTTGATTAAAGCCAATTAAAAAATTCTTAGATAAAAATGTAATTTCTTTAATAGGTCTGTATCTACTAGCAATTATTCAGTCGTGAGGATTTTTTCTGAAAATTAAACTTTGTTTAACTCTGACTTAGTTTACATATGGCTTATTTATGTAGCATTGTGTAAATTGTCTACCTTGTAAATAATGAATTACGTTCCTCAAGATGATGTTCTGTTATGGCGTCATGTAACCTCATAGGTAGGTACCAACGTTTCGGGCAAACATATTGATTCCATCTTCAGGGCTGAAGTCCACACAGGGAGTCAAAACTAGAATAAGACTGTCATTTTCACATCCGTGAGAAGGTTCAATTCCGAATTAAGTTTCTGCGTGTTAACAGTTGCCTTGCACCGCGGAGCATTGGACAGCCTTGGAGCAGAGCTGACGCCGGAAATTCCCGGTCCTACCTCAGCACGGCGCACGCCGTGACAACTCGGAGTAATGGAGAGTAATAGAATTAACGACAAGCGTCGCTGTAGAATGCAGAGCCGGCCGTTTCTATGCCCATGGACGCCTGCCTAGATCTCCCTGTAGACAGAACGCGACATCTGGTCCGGAAAATTGAAACTAAAACAGTCCCAGCCTAAATTAAAGACATACGACGCCTTTTTTGAGCTCGAAACACAAATAAATTTCACCTTTAGTTAATTTAGTTTGTTATTTATCGTCAGTGAGAAAATAGACAGCTTTAATTATTTAAATACCTAGCTTTATATAAGATATTATTAAGCGTTCTTTGCGAGAAGTTCATAGCGAGAATGCATTATGGGTTGGTGGTCCATCCGGTCGATTCAACTCGAAAACCACTGGACGGATCTGGATGAAATTTAATTTCGAGGCTGTGATGTTCTGCACGACTTCAAGATCGTAGTGTTTAATATTCTATTAGCGGTGACAAGAAAATTAATTAGAAAATTCGTGAGGTAGACATTGAGGTGCGGCGATCTGGTGGCCAAAGTGGAATTTATAGAACAAGGCGGATTTTAACACCTCTAAATGCACTTTGCAAATCAGACGAAATATTAATTTAGAAATTTGCTGGTATCAATAAAAATTAATATCATCGTAGTTCTTGGAAATACAGGCTACTACAGAAATTTAGTGTCTATAAAGAGATAGAATGAATAATAATGATAATGATAATAGCTTTATTACAGCTATTCGGTGCAATGCGAAAAGACAAGAAACTTCAGAAAATGTGTCATCAGTTCTTTTTGTATATCTGAACTTGGTCTGCTCTAGTATCTCCATGTTTTCATGTAATTAGTACAGTTTAGGCAACATGAAAACATAAGTTGATATAATTGCGTCATATTGTGAATTAAAATTTAATTATTCGTGTTTTTTCCGTCTAATCACAATTGTATATAAATAAAATTTATACATTTATACATTTATACATTATGTATAAATTTTATTTATATACAATTGTGATTAGACGGAAAAACACGAATAATTAAAGATGAAAACGTATTTCACAGATCATCTCAACCACAAATCAGTAGAAATCGAAGGACTCAGTGGATGACTTATCGCCCTGATGATAAAGACAGCAATGACCTCTGAAACGTCGGTAAGCTTCTACCAGACTACACGGCGCTACAACCCAGAAGACGCCCATCTTCAGACTCACCGCCTTGAGAACCTCAAATTAAACTACACTCTGATTTCTTCTGATATCTGCTTACTCCTTGCTATTTGTAAATAACTATTCATACAGATTTTTTAAAACTTCACTCAAATCCATCAGTTTATGTTTAAAAGACACCATAAATTATCCCCACGGCAAAAGTATCCGACGAGAATAACAGCGTTGGTAGAGTAGGAACGTTGGAACATCAGACTTAACAAGAAAAGTGTCTCATCTTCAAACACGTCTCACGACTGAGGAAAGGAAATTTAATTCATTTTGCTTTTGTTAACCTTTTAATGGACTTCTTTTCTCACTTCCACTCTCCTGCTCCACCTTCCTTATTTTCCTGTTACTCCTCTGTATATAAATCATACCTGACATCTTAATTTTCACACCTCTAACAACAAGTGAAGTTCGCTCCCCCGCCGTGCGTGGCAGCACCGGCTACCTAACCCCTCACGATGATCATTTGTTCGCTCGTTGCCAGCACGGCTTTGTTAGCCTTCGCTTTTTATTTTTTTTTTTACAATAGATTATGGACAGGAATGAACTCTTACAAAAGTTTTACGTAAAACTGCTATAAAAGATTTATCATAATGATAAATTTCCATTTATATATGACCTATTGACGTATAGGTCATCGTTCAATTGTGTCTTTATGGGCAGGGTTGATGGTTAAATCTCTCTGTCATTTCTTTACGTAATGCAAGCCCAAATAAAACTGTAAAAGAACACGCAGTGTCCGAATGAAAAATATGCTCATATTACCCGGCGACACACCAGAAAATAGCCCCATTACATACAGGTAACCAGGTAATCATCAATGCGTATGATAAATTAGATTTCAAGAAATGTTACTACCCGAATACTTAAGTTAAAACACACGTTCTTTGAACATTTGCGTTCTGAATTCTTTTAAGTTAAATAAAAGCGATGATCTCCCTGATGATGGAGGCAGCAAGGACCTTTGAATTGTCAGTACCAGACTACAGGGGTCAATAACCCAGAAGGCATCCATATTCATATACAAGGTATATGATAGTTTCGATCTTGTCTATCTGTATTAATACCACTTAAGTTTCTCGTGTAATTAATAAGCCAAGTGTGAAACCTGGCCAAAGTTACACAAGGCTCCACGAGGTAAAAATATGTTTCATTATTTTATTATTATTTAGTGTTCTGTCTGACGACTGGTCCATAAGAACAGGATCCTTCCATCCTCTTCTCGGACTGGGACCTGTTCATATACGTTCTTGGCAGATGATCCAGAAGTGGTTTGCCATTGCCTTCTTCTGTGTGTGAATGGAGTAATTGTTGGGATGCCACGGAGGAAAACTCCGCGTTGCCTAGACCACGGCCTTGCCCAACACAAGTTATAAATTTCGTAAAATGTAATCAATTTGATTCCACGTTGTATTTTATGAAATACTTATTCAAAAACTTGCTGATTTTTTAAAAAAATTATAAATTACAAAGAAGAAAAATGCGAATTGAGAAAAATTACACAGTGAGGGGCTTCATAATTATTTTAAAACGTTTTTCGCCACAATTTTATTAATGATTTATCAAGACATAATATATAACAGAGGCATGGAGAAAATGTTAATCGGGAAACTTGAAGCGATATCACATAAGAGACTTAGGTATATATGGCAGGATAACATTAATATTGTATTTTTTAACAGAATGTTAAATGCATTAATCTCACAAAGTCTGGGGCAAGGTTCATTTGTAGAAAATGCCTACCCATTTGCAGACAGATCAATGCACGTTTACTAGAGACCACAAAAATAACATTTTACGTGTTTCGTTTACTTTATGCGAAATAATAATAAATAAATTTGAGAGAACAGAAATGAACCTATTTTTAAAAGCATGTGGGCGAAATATCAAAGAGGCCTGATTTCAATGCTATTTCTCATGTTGATATAAAACACTTTGCTCGGGATCTGAATTTAAGTCCCGTTCATAGAAAGTGTCTTTGTAGGCGATTTACGTCTTTTCAGATACTGAGGAAGTCTCACAGAAACGCGTATGGAGTTTCGAAAAATCTAATTTTTTCAGAAATAATTTATGGTTGGTATGGGTTAATCTTTGGAATTCTGATGAGCTATGAGCAGAATAAATATTATTTTAATTTGCTGTCAAGCTACAATTATTAGAAAATTATAATTGTTTTGGTACAGACAACGTAAGGAATATTTAGTAGTCTAAACAGTTGTATTTACAGGTTTAGTCTCCCATAGTTTAAAGAATATCAAATATTAAAATAATATTGACTATGACATATGAACAAAATGTAGTCGCTTGTCATTTCTGTTTCTGGAGTAATAACAAAAGCTAAATTACAATAAAATTGTATAAACCATCTTAAAACGAACACGATATTTCATTTCTCTCAATAAGTAACGAGTTAATTACCAACGTCATGGCATTGCTGTGAGAACAGAATTGCCAACATTCACGTTTCATAACGAAGTCATGGAATTAAAAAAACAAAACAACAAAACATTTTTGAAAATCACAAAACGAAAATAGGATGACGTTCTTCCATACTTTTCTGTATTAACGTACACGAACGGAATATGAGCAGAGGCCATGTTGTAACCAACTAAAAAGCCTTTCTAACACAACTCAATTAATCTTTACAAAAATACCAAACTCTACAAAATACTGAACCAAATGGAAATGCCTTTCTATCCCACTACCAACATAACAAAAAAACCCCGCAGAATTGTGTTAAATGATGTAAATGTTGATCTCACCCAAAAACAAACTCATAACGCAGGGCGACCAACACCCATTACTTCATTCCGGTTAAAAAATGCGTCAGAAATGCAAATAAAAATCTGCTGTGGTTTCATCATTGAAAGTTCAACTCTCCTCCACACGAAATCACATCTTTCATCATATACGTCACAATAATAACCATAAAAATAACAAAAAAAAAACTCACCCTTCCTCTTCGTAAGGGCGTTAGTTCCAGATTGCTGTCACCAGATCTCGCTGCCATCACAGTATTGCTCATTCAACTGTAATCAGATTCATTGTTATTTTAGTGACAAAGTGTCGTATAGGCCATAAATTAATAGTTGAATTTACAGACGAGCGGGGCTAATCAAAGATGAAGATTCATATTTATAAGAGAGACACGATCATTTCGACTTAGAATTAGCATATATATATGTAAACATACACACACACACTAGGTTATTTTCTAAGGCTATAAAAAGTTGTAACTTACGTTAAGAAAAGGTTAAAAACGACACATATTTCAAAAAAATATTTTGAATAAGCCATTTTAGGCCTAAGATTAGTGAACTAAGCAGAGAATTGAGAGAATCACAAAACGACGAGCTTCGTGATTGTAAAACGAACGTGTCAATTTTTGAACAGCGCATACCAGGCTGTAAACAGTGCAAGGATCTTACGGAAATCGGGCTATTACCCCTCGTACGTGGTTGGTTATGGGTCGGGTTCGATTCTCGTCAGGGGCAGAGAAGTTTCATCTTTACCACGTCCAGACCAGCTCTGGGACCGAGTCATTGTCTTAAAGTTGCCGGGGTTAAAACGGCTGGGACAAAACTCTAACTACTTAACTCCATCTGGTGCCTAGAATACGTGTATCTTATGTATGTTCTACTGTGGTACGTACATTTAAATACTAGAGGAAAAAGGTAAACACGAAAATATGAGGAGATGGAAGAATATTATTAAAACGGAGGATGTGTAGCTAAATAATTATGGACGTACGCAGAATATTCTGATTAGTAATTTCTTCAATGATTACCTAGGTACTAGATAGGTAACAAACATGTGGAAATCTTAAGTGTTGGTGTTAATAACAAAACACCGATTTATACAGAGCAACACACAAATTAATTTAATAATTTCACTAGTCGAGACTGCAAAATTCCTATAATTTACATATACTTCGTCAGAGATCTACAGCAAATGTGATTCTTTGGAAATCATGGAATATTTGTGATGGATTCCTGGAAATGGTTTTCATTGGATCGAATATTGCTTGCATGCATTGCGTGGTCTTATCAGCAGTAGAACACAAGCTGTTTGTTGCTTTGCTGTTATTTCTCTGAGAGCCTTGGCCTCTGTGGATGGTATTTCAGCAAGATTTACGAACTTTTCAGACATTTCGTAGGACCAGTCTCATCCTAGACACATTCACTCTGATAACAAGGTGTCCTCTTTGGAGTACAATGACATTCAAACGACTTTATTAACGCCCACACCACGTACGTTATTACTGCAAAAACATTACATCATTCTTATTTTTATGCTACGAGATCATATTTGCGCCTAAGTCATTCTTGCACTAATGCGATTCAAGTTAATTGTCGCTGGCTAAATGTCATTCAGAGTTGCCTACCCACTCACGATAGAACGTGCGAATTATATGAAGTTCATTGCGCATTTTTCTCCAGTTTATCATTATTTCCTATTAGGTCAAACGCCCTCTGTCAACTATTTTCTGCCCTCAGAGTGAGATTTAATAACGAAATGTGAATTTAATTTATTAATATGACGCTTCGGTTCAATATGACCGGTTGAAAACAAGTTTTTATGATCAAATTGCACTATTTGACACGAGAGAATTTAAGTTATTACTTCAGCAAGGAAACTTTGACAACTCCAGTCCATAAGAGTACATTTTATTTAAACAAATTTCGCTACAGTGACGACATAAATTTTTTTTTGAACACTTTATCGTGAATAATTTATTTTGAAACGCAGTATCTTCGTGAAAAATCACGAACTTCTGTGATTTTCCACACGCCTCCTCCTGAACGTTCATCCGCGCAGACCGAGAGTTTCCGCTGGTATGAGCACAACAACGCGGGGCTGTATACCCACGCAGAGGAGGAGGAATGGTGGTTGCCGACGCAGGAATCAGCGTTAGGAATCAGGAGCACAATTAATCCGGGTCCCATTAGAAGGGTGACGTCATTCGCGGCGACAGATGGATCCAGAAACAGCATCAAGATTGCTTCGAATCCTTGTGGGACCCATCTATATGCTAATGACTTTTTCCTATACATGTGAATGTGTTGTTTCGGATCCCACAGCAACAACCGCCTATCTCACTTCACTCTACAAACAAGTGAGGTATTAAATTGTCCCTGCGTTATTTAACAACCAATGCTCTTTCCTGAAGAAGGCAGTTTTCTGACTTTGACAGATGTTTCAGGGAACTTTCTGCCCTGATGATGGACGCAGCAAGAACCTCCGAAACCTCCGTCAATTTCCAATAGACTAGAAGACTATTTTTATAACCATCGCCGCGAGAACTTATATTCTCGACGTTTCTTTATCTCCGGAGGCTTTAATGAGGCGGAATGATAATCAGCCCTGAGGAATGAGGCAGCATGTTCTTTATAAATGCTGGTATAGAACCACAAGACTGTACGGCAAAACGCAGAACACCACCAGACCTGTCCTATGTATTCCCATAAAAACCTCAAATCGTATAAAACTAGAATTCGCGTGCTCATTATATAATCGTACGACCGATCAGTCATAAATGCTAACCAATTATGTTCCCACCTAGCAGTCTTGCATCTGCGATGTATCAGGTTCTAATCTCGGGCGAACACCGGGCTGTCTTGCTAGAGCGTTTTACACTTCCCCCCAAAAGAGACTCAAGTTTGATCCAGCCCACATCCTCGCTAATTATTCGTCTTCGTTTATTTTTAATATTATCTTCCCCATCTCATTTTTCACAACTTCTGTTTAAGCTTTTCCCCCAGTCTAAGGAACGTGTCCGACCTCTCATTAACTTTCGTGATTTAACAGCCCTGCAATATCCAGCGTTTACCTTAAGTTCAATGCAGTGAATTCTTAAGTTTAAGCAGTTACTTTCTCATTTTATTTTATAAGTGAGTCTACTCCGCGAAATATTCATCCGAAAAGTTGGCAAACCCGCGCTTAGCTAGCCGAGGAGTTCGCCACGTTCTGTACGGTCAAATGGACCGTAGGCTAAGCCAGTTCAATTCATTTTCACCATGTTTCTATAATTATTAATTTTAATATTATGTACTATAGAACGCTGGCCTTGTAATCCTGGGGTCTCGGGTTCGATTCCCGGCGGTGCCCGAATGTATAACTTGTGTTGGGCAAGGCCGGGGTCTAGGCAACACGGAGTTTTCCTCCGTGGCATCCCAACAATTACTCCATTCACACACAGAAGAAGGCAATGGCAAACCACTTCTGGATCATCTGCCAAGAACGTATATGAACAGGTCCCAGTCCGAGAAAAGGATGGAAGGATCCTGTTCATATGGACCTGTCGTCAGACAGAACACTAAATAATATAAAATAAAATAATTCTGCTAAGTGAGATGTCTTTTTTATCATAACCTGCTATGTTGTTGGCTGTCTACTCCAACATCCAACTCGGAGCGCGTTTCTGATGGTACCCTCTTTGACAATCGCATTGTAATCTTTCATTCATTGTCAGCTCCTCGTAATTCAGTGTTTTTAGTCATTAATACTTCTATGTGAAGTATAAATTCTGTGGTTAGTGCAATTATAGTTAAAAGAAATTCACGTGCCACTGCGGACAGCAACTACTTGTTCCATCGGACTCGCTATGAACGGGTACATACGCCGCTCTTGGCCGCAGCTGAGTTCGCGCGCCACATCGAAGTGATAGCTGATAGGGCCTCAATGGTTAACGCGTTTTGTTTTGTTGTGGAGGCGGCCATGTAATGACGGTATAAACAGCATGTGGTAACATGCGAGCATCGCGCACTCCGAAACTGCCTCATCTCTGCCAGTGAGACCCAGAATTAGGGGTTCCTACTTCGGGAGCCTTTTACAGAACCCAAAATCACGCACGTTTCTTGAAATAAATGTATCCTGAAATTCCGTCAAATTTCACATTTCTGCAGTAATTAGAATAAGGTACAATGCAGAAAGGAAAACTTGTTGTTCTGACATTCGAGTGCCTGAAGACATTTATTTTCTTACGTATTTGTTCAACAGACAACCAAGTTTTATTGTGACGACGTGTACACTCGTAGATATCAACTTTTCGGTGTAACATGCTGTCTCCACCTCATGGGTTGAAGAATAACTTTATCTACCTTAAATATATTTATTTTGTACAGTCTATACACAAACGTTGAAGTTAAATGATGTTGTTAAAATTATATAATATTAAAACATTATGTAGTATAAAATATTATATTTTGGCGCTTTTAATCGTAAATACGATTTTACATTATTTAGCGCTTTTTTATTTATTAAACGACATGTTTCGATGGATAATACCTCATCTTCAGGTTTATATCAATGTTACAATATTTTAAAATTATTAGATATTTTAATGCAATGTATTATATTTATTTGTGGTTTGTTTGTAGAAAATAGAAAATAGAAAATCTACAAACAAACCACAAATAAATATAATACATTGCATTAAAATATCTAATAATTTTAAAATATTGTAACATTGATATAAACCTGAAGATGAGGTATTATCCATCGAAACATGTCGTTTAATAAATAAAAAAGAGCTAAATAATGTAAAATCGTATTTACGATTAAAAGCGCCAAAATATAATATTTTATACTACATAATGTTTTAATATTATATAATTTTAACAACATCATTTAACTTCAACGTTTGTGTATGGACTGTACAAAATAAATATAGATTTAATCAAACACAAACATGACGCATTTAAGCTACAAAAAAAAAATACCAATCCATTCTTTGACGACGCTTAAATATAAAATTTCTTCCACAGTTGAAGCAGACAGAAACATTAATCTCATGTTAAAATCATTGAATTGGGAAACTTGTACAACATTCAATGAGATCAACAGATGGTGACTGATAAGTAGTTAAGGGTTTGAAAGGAATCGGCCCTGACGTCTTCCAAAGAAAATCTTAAACATTTCAACGTACCTAATATTTTCCGATCCCTTGGCTGAAATTCGAACCGAGCACCTCATGAATACACATCTAGAACATTACATCAATCAGCTATCTACGAAACAAACTCAGAAA